ACACACTACACACACACACACACACACACTCCTCTCTCTCTCTCTCTCTCTCTCTCTCTCTCTCTCTCTTCGCTTTTTTTTGTTTGTCAGTATGCGTTCTTCCTGCGTTTCTCCTAAGGATTTCAAGGCGACAGCTCCTGAAAGCAAACAGCATCCGGCCGTGTACGCGCGCGAATTCATAGTGGCGTGAAAAAAGATCGTCCGAGAAGATTCGCAAGAGGGACCTATCTCGCCGTCATCCTCGGAACGCCCTCGCAAACAATTCCGAGATGATGCGGACGTGCACATCCGCGGCAAATGAAATATTTCGTTTATCCAGGAAACACACGTACACCACGGACTCGTCTTCAGACGACTGACTGTGCGAACGCGCGCGCGTTTTCACGTCCGGGTCGAAGGGAATATCTTTTTCGTTCTCCATTCGCGAAACGCAATCCTCGTGTGTCCTCTGCTCGGTTCGTTACAACAAGAGATCTCTTTTCTCGCCGCACGGCAGTGGCGTGCGAATTATACAGATATGAAAGTATAGAATGTATATATAATATATATATATATATATATTATTTTTTTTTTTATACACATGTATATATATGTATATATACGTATACACAATACATATGTACCTACGTACGTACGACCAACTAAGGGTAGACAGGCGCAATCACGTGTTGTTGAATCGAATCCGATCGATCGGCCGCGCTTAGGATTTTACACATCGACGTCGTGTGAAAATTGGACGCTCGATTTATCTTTTTGGATCGCTGCCGATTTCGGATTCAAACTGCGTGTGTATGAATGTGTATGTTCATGTTTGTATGTCGGGCGATGAATAAAGACGATAAAATAATCGGGAAGGAACAAATTAACGAGACCTTCGTGCTCCGTAATGCAATTACAAAAAAAAAAAGAAGGAAAGGGAACGGAAGGAACGCGAAAAGCAGCTCGTGTTTCTCGCTCATGGATACAGTCATGCACATCAATTTTTCAACGCAATCGCATTCTTGATCAATGCTCGTCATTGTTGAACTCGAGACACGAGCGTTTGGGCCAATGGGCCAATGGGTTCAGAACTCCGACGCCCAAGTTTTCCACGGTGACATTCCTCGTATTCTAAGAACTTCGATTCTGAGGGATTTCAAGAACAAGTTCTAAGAATCCTAGAACTTCTTTATATAATAATCGTCCAACCGTTATCTATATAAAATTAATGCGTATTTAAATTTATTTGTCACGAATAAATTTTTTTGCGAATCATTTGCGAATTATTCATTTTTCTAGAGTTTGAACCTCTTGGCATACGCAACATACCAGATCATTATTGCACTTTAAAGCTGAACTTAGAGAAATAAAATACAGGGTTTAAATCGTTAATAAACATAGAAGACATTCGCCAGCATTACATAAGAATAAGATTAACATATGGGAAACGAGTAACATGACATTAACATAAAGTCGCATGGAGAGAAGAATGTTTATGTGTGTGTTTTCGAAAAATTGCTTTCACACAGCGTTTCCAAAAAAAAAAAAGATTAACATCTCCAAAAAATTTTATGAACTTATTTTTAAAAAATCCATAATATAATTGAAGATATCAAAAATTTTATTATTATTTTTTTTTAGATATCGCTTTGAATGTCAACAATTAAATTTTGGAAGGACTTGGAAACGCTGTGTCCATATTAATGTTGTAAATGTGATCTGGGTACGCTCTCTCCCTAGCTAGGCGCGTGTACGTCGACCTATTGTCTTCTCAGAAATGACTTCCGCCGTGAGGAGAGCACACTGACCTACGTCTTCGTCGCTCGCGTGTCTTTTTTTTCCGTTCACTTTGCTCATCCGCTTCAGAGCTTTACGAGCTAAAAATTGCTCGGTAAGGCAAGACCGGACAACAAGGATACGTGAAGGGAGACGTGTCTTAATCGTCCCGCGACCGATGACTCTCTCTGGTTCCGAGCACCCGGGATGCTCGCGTATACATTAGTTGATAACAGACAACAGCCGGACGAGTTAATCGCTCCATCATTCTCCAAGTTCCGAGTTTGCCAACTGCCTTCTGCGACGGGCGATCGCTCGGACGGTCCACGAATCCCTCTGCACGTATCCTTCTTCCTTCTGATACAAATCAAAACGAGAAGAGAATTGTTCGAAAATGGAAAAAAAAAAGATTACGTTACTTATTAAGAGTATCGGCGAAACGATCATGTCGTATGCCTCGTGTATACTTCCTTTCATCGTGTGTCGTGTCGTGTCGTTGGAATTGCGATGCTGTGTGATGTGGTTCACGTTTTCCGCTCGCTCGCTCGCTCGCTCGCTCTCTGCACGCATCGTTCGTACAATCTCTCTCTTGCCTAATTCATCGCATCCGTCTCGAAAGAAAGGGGGAAACGAGAAAAACGAGGGTCTCCGAGTCTTAGACGCGCGGTCGCTTTTCGTTTTCCCGGTCGGAATCAGAGTCCGCTGAATCGTGGAGAGGCGGAAATTCGGGCACCGCCTCGCGTTGTTGCATCCATCCCGCCGCGCCTGGCCCCCCAGCCAATGCCTTGCCCTGCGTCATGTTTTTCGATTGTTTGTTTTTTGTTTTGCAATTGATTTTTAGCCCTCTGTCTTTATCCCCTGCAGGATGGCGACAAAATAGCGTGTCATTGGTCACTAAGCCTCGCCTCGACCCGATAGAAAAAGAAGACTTGTTTCGCTTCGCGTTTCGCCTTCCAAGGAGAACATTCGGCCTACCCGGCCTATCCCAGATGTCGCGGATACGCCGAATCTTCTCCAAGCTCGGCACGTTGCGTCGATGCACGCGGAAAACGAGAAACGGGCATTTACTTTCCACGTTACGTGGCGAAAATTTCCAAGTTATCTTGGATTTCGCTCGCTACTCGAATCTATCGCGCAACTCGGACGGAAAACTCGATATCTTCGCGAGTTTCGCGTTATTACTCGCGATACCGTTTCTCGTTACCCACGTCTCGAGGACGAAAGGATTTCCGAGCAGTTGTGTCTCAGCTTCGTCGGCGAAACTTGTCAGTTGGATGTCATTTCACGTGGGGTAATTGCAAGGCAAATGTCGAATCGAGAAATCCTTTCGAAATTCACTCCGACGCAACGGACCGGCGTCTATTCTACTGTCTACGCGAAATTCTGAACTCTGCAAAACGAGCTACAATGAAATTTTTGATTCCACTCACTCTCTTTCTATCATGCTCTTTTCTCCGACTTTCAATCCTCCGCTTATTCATTCATTCTACACTCAACTGTCTCTCTTCCTTTCTCTCTCTCTCTCTCTCTCTCTTTCTCAAATCAAGCAGACAAAAGGAGCGCACACATACTACCTTGTAAAACCAGTACACACGTGGGCCTCAGAAAATACCATTTGCGATATTGCAATTCAGGCGTCTTTTAAATCTATTAAATTACCGTCGGCAAACCATGGACAGTTCAATCTTCCGCGACTTACAAAAGGGTATTCCTTGATCAAATGGTGCAGAGAAAAATCGATAGTGACTTTTCGCTTCGGAGGCTCTCGTGTCTTGAAATTCTACATGCAGCCATGCATGTCATGAAAAGTATCTGCCCTAATATCTCTCCAGCTATCTATAAAATACACTCCAACGTTGCCTTGTTCTCCTTCTATCAGCCTATATATACATATCATACGTGTGAAAATTGTGAGTGGATGCGAGTGTATGTATGGAGTGTATGTGTATGTGTACGTTTGTGTGTGTAAAGAGCTGCCTTTATGTAAGTCTCTAAAGTATTAAGTATCGAAAGCCGTGTAAAGAGCGACATATGAAACCGCGCGTAATGCGTAGGGTGCGTGTATGCTGTCAAATATTTATGTACAAACGGCTACGGATTCCGCGTGAACTCCGTCACTGCTGTGTCTTCCGATACTGGTCTCTCAGACGCCAAAACTGCGACAAAAAGGGAAGGTAAACAGAAACGCCCCTCGCGCGAATTTAATTTCAAGGCCCCATTTTCGAATTCCGCGACTGGAAGAAACTTCGGTTGTTGAAAGTAACAACGGTTCGCGCATCTCAGCACCATCCGAAACACTCGCGATCGACTTACGATCGAACTAAAAACTTATCGCTTGCTGCCACCAACTTTTACTATCTACGTAACAAACGGCCTATCTAACACGTATCTCTACATCTAAAAAAAAAAGAAAAAAAAAGAAGTCCCAATATCAAAATCTTATTGCACACTTAGCGAGATCTAATCCTAAGGGAAGAGCTCGAAGGCGAGGACGTCTTTCTGGAGGGTATAATAGAACGCACGAAGGCGAGAAGCCCTCCGCGCTTTCCCCGGTACGTATCGTTGTGTGTATACGGAATTCAGTGCGGAACACCCGGAAAGATCCAAATCCGAAGCTCGATTCGCGCGCCTCCTCGATTCTGCCGTTGCGCTCTCCAATTCTTCCACTGTCGAGATAACTCTTCAGGATGACAGATCGGTACGAGAGAAGCTAATAAGAGAGACGATCATTCTCGGATGCGCATCGAATGAAAATTTTGGATACCTGGGGCAGCTAGATTTTCGCCCTTCCCCCCCCCCCCCGTGAAATTCCTTGCTCTAGTCTCTTCGCAACGTCGCACTGGTGAATTTCGTCAGATTACCCGAAAAACTCGCCGTCGGCACTCTCTGCGGCGCTCGGAAGCTCGCACTCGAGCTTCGACTTCGTCGCGTTCACATCTTTAAAACGTGCGTCGCGACACACGTGGTCCTTTCCCCTCCGTGCGTAACTTGGTTCGAAAATAAATTCTATTTCCTCGGGGATTTACGAGTGGAGATCTTCCTCTGCAGTAACCTCCTCCGCGAAGCAGGCTCGGAGTAGAAATTTCAAAACGTTCCCGGAAACACGTAGACACGCGGATCTGCCTGCGTATATATTGCACTATCGATGAGTTAGATGAGAACGGAACTGGCACCCCGCGAGCCGGAGGATCCTAACAACGTCTCACCGAGCATTCCTCTCGTTCCTAGTTCTCTCTCGGAAAATCCACGACCCTCCATCAAATGCCTCTCTGTCTCTCTCTCTCTC